GTTGAGTTAATGCCAAAGAGCTCGATTTTGGTCTCATCTGACCACAACACTTTCACCCAGTTCTCCTCTGAATCATTCAGATGTTCATTGGCAAACTTCAGACGGCCCTGTATATGTGCTTTCTTGAGCAGGGGGATCTTGCGGGCGCTGCAGGATTTCAGTCCTTCACGGCGTAGTGTGTTACCAATTGTTTTCTTGGTGACTATGGTCCCAGCTGCCTTGAGATCATTGACAAGATCCTCCTGTGTAGTTTTGGGCTGATTCCTCACCGTTCTCATGATCATTGCAACTCCACGAGGTGAGATCTTGCATGGAGCCCCAGGCCGAGGGAGATTGACAGGTCTTTTGTGTTTCTTCCATTTGCGAATAATCGCACCAACTGTTGTCACCTTCTCACCAAGCTGCTTGGCGATGGTCTTGTAGCCCATTCCAGCCTTGTGTAGGTCTACAATCTTGTCCCAGACATCCTTGGAGAGCTCTTTGGTCTTGGCCATGGTGGAGAGTTTGGAATCTGATTGATTGATTGCTTCTGTGGACAGGTGTCTTTTATACAGGTAACAAGCTGAGATTAGGAGCACTCCCTTTAAGAGTGTGCTCCTAATTTCAGCTCGTTACCTGTATAAAAGACACCTGGGAGACAGAAATCTTTCTGATTGAGAGGGGGTCAAATACTTATTTCCCTCATTAAAATGCAAATCAATTTATAACATTTTTTACATGCGTTTTTCTGGATTTTTTTGTTGTTATTCTGTCTCTCACTGTTCAAATAAACCTACCATTAAAATTATAGACTGATCATTTCTTTGTCAGTGGGCAAACATACAAAATCAGCAGGGGATCAAATACGTTTTTCCCTCACTGTACATGCCCGTCTAAAGTTTGCCAATGAACATCTGAATGATTCAGAGGAGAACTGGGTGAAAGTGTTGTGGTCAGATGAGACCAAAATTGAGCTCTTTGGCATCAACTCAACTCGCCGTGTTTGGAGGAGGAGGAATGCTGCCTATGACCCCAAGAACACCATCCCCACCGTCAAACATGGAGGTGGAAACATTATGCTTTGGGGGTGTTTTTCTGCTAAGGGGACAGGACAACTTCACTGCATCAAAGGGACGATGGACGGGTCCATGTACCGTCAAATCTTGGGTGAGAACCTCCTTCCCTCAGCCAGGGCATTGAAAATGGGTCGTGGATGGGTATTCCAGCATGACAATGACCCAAAACACACGGCCAAGGCAACAAAGGAGTGGCTCAAGAATAAGCACATTAAGGTCCTGGAGTGGCCTAGCCAGTCTCCAGACCTTAATCCCATAGAAAATCTGTGGAGGGAGCTGAAGGTTCGAGTTGCCAAACGTCAGCCTCGAAACCTTAATGACTTGGAGAAGATCTGCAAAGAGGAGTGGGACAAAAACCCTCCTGAGATATGTGCAAACCTGGTGGCCAACTACAAGAAACATCTGACCTCTGTGATTGCCAGCAAGGGTTTTGCCACCAAGTACTAAGTCATGTTTTGCAGAGGGGTCAAATACTTATTTTCCTCATTAAAATGCAAATCAATTTATAACTTTTTTGACATGCGTTTTTCTGAATTTTTTAGTTGTTATTCTGTCTCTCACTGTTCAAATAAACCTACCATTAAAATTATAGACTGATCATTTCTTTGTCAGTGGGAAAACTTACAAAATCAGCAGGGGATCAAATACTTTTTTCCTTCACTGTATATTTTCTTAAATTCCATTCCTTACTAGTTTTGTGTGTATTAGGTATATGTTGTGAAATTGTTAGATATTACTTGTTAGATATTACTGCACTGTCGGAGCTAGAACCACAAGCATTTCGCTACACCCGCTATAACATCTGCTAAACACGTACGTGTATGTGACAAATAACATTTGATTTGATTTGATTTACTGCTGCAGCCTTCACAGTAATCTAAGACAATCTAAATTCACACTCCTCTTGTTGTCTGAGAGAACATTTTACAGGTTTAAAGCTTATTTCCTGCAATTCTACACATTTAGTCATGGGGTGCAGATAATTTTTCAATTTTAAAGCTCATTTTCTTGCAATTCTATATATTTTGCCATGTCTAATTTGTATTCATGTGATATTTGAGTGACTCAAACTTTACAACAAAATCTATGGGCTAAAAACCCTAGCTAAAAAAACTGTTAGCTGACATGGTTGACACGTTATAAATAGCTCTCTACGGTATGCAATGACTGACATGACAAGAAGGAAACTTGTACTATTACAAATTCTGCCTAATTAGTGCCCAGTTAGGCACAGTGGAAATAAGGGTGGTAGTCTACATCAGCCAGAGAGTGTTCTCACACTTGGTTTGGTCTTTCATCACAAACAGTAAATATGTGACATTCATATCGTATCAATCAACTGTTGTTCAACTGTTGCTGTGCTTGTTGATTTTTGCATGTTTGGATAGCAGTGCACTGATGTCCATGTACTGTAACTATCTACAGTACTCTCTTGTACCCTCGTGATACAGACATGACAGATGTCAGTCAGTCTGAATGTCCCCAATCCTGCAGATTCTATACTGAACAAAAATATAAACGCAACATGTAGTGTTGGTCCCATGTTTCATGAGCTGAAATAAAAGATCCCAGAAATGTTCCATATGCACAAAAAGCTTATTTCTCTCAGATTTTCTGCACAAATTTGTTTACATCCCTGTTAGTGAGCATTTCTCCTTTGCCAAGATAATCCATCCACCTGACAGGTGTGGCATATCAAGAAGCTGTCTAAACGGCATGATCATTACACAGGTGCATCTTGTGCTGGGGAAAAGGCCACTCTAAAATGTGCAGTTTTGTCACACAACACAATTTCACAGATGTCTCAAGTTTTGAGGGAGCATGCAATTGGCATGCTGTCTGCAGGAATGTCCACCAGAGCTGTTGTCAGATAATTGAATGTTAATTTCTCTACCATAAGCCGCATCCAACGTTGTTTTAGAGAATTTGGCAGTACGTCCAGCCGGCCTCACAACGCCAGCCCAGGACCTCCACATCAGGCTTCTTTACCTGAGGTATCGTCTGAGACCAGCCACCTGGACAGCTGATGAAACTGAGGAGTATTTCTGTCTGTAATAAAGCCCTTTTGTGGGGAAAAACTCATTCTGATTGGCTTGGCCTGGCTCCCCAGTGGGTGGGCCTGCCTCCCAAGTGGGTGGACCTATGCCCTCCCAGGCCCACCCATGGCAGCGCCCCTGCCCAGTCATGTGAAATCTATAGATTAGAGCCTAATGAATTCATTTCAATTGACTGATTTCCTTAAATGAACTGTAACTCAGTAAAATCTCTGAAATTGTTGCTTTGTGTTTATATTTTTGTTCAGCATATATGCCATCTAGTGACCAATATAGGAATAGCACAGGGTAGTGAGAAGAAATCACACAAAATGATACACACAAAGGATATCCAACCTTAGTCACTTTACTTGTTTGAGAAACCCCAACCGTTTGAAATAAATAACTCATCCATTTCAAAGTCCACTACAGTGATTATGGCTGATAGCAGTGTTTCACAACAGGGAAACCACTCCCATTATAAGGCGGACACACAAGTCAGAGCTGAGGCTTCGTACAAATAGGAATTTGACATATTATGCAACTTAACGTTGAGGATGAGCATATTTTTTGTCATTGATCTGATATAGTTGATATATCCATGGTTTGCTAACACAGAGAACGAACTCCAGGCACTGGGCTTAGTGAGTTTGGCACAGGCTGACCAAGACACATGATCAAATAATAACATTTAGAAGAAGAGTGCACTTGACTACATTACTCTTTCAATTCCTTTCTCTTTTTATCAGTGCAAAATAAAGCAAAATTATTTTTGCCTATCAAAATCTCTACATATGTATTTACATTAACTAGTTGCTGTATGCAAGGCCATTTCAGAAAATACGGTACATGATGAAAATACGTAGCTAAGAAACACATTAAATGCAAAACAATACAAGACAATAGTCATACTTTGAGCAGAACCTGTGCTTCAAAATGTCAGGCACGTGAAGCTGGCTAAGTCCAGTGCAGGAACGTGTTCTGATAAAACGAAAGAAATAGAGAGTTCATTCAGTAAATATAGGGAGATCTTTTAAAGTACCGTCATATTGGTTTAGAAAGGCTGTATTGTACTGTGAACATGACAGCACATATTAGATCTAATGGGAGGGGCTGAATGAACCCACCACCTCAGACCTTGGTGGATGGTGTAATAATACATGGAGATCCACTCTCATGCTTCTGACATCACATTAAGACTACAGTCACGTTGGCATGTGGTCAACATGTATTAATAACAGATTCATCATTTCCATAACCTCTGGATGTAGGTTACACACTAGTAGGACATGCAGTTTAAACACATTTACTGCTATTTCTGTTTTATCTTCTTTACCCCCAAATGTGACCCCTTGTCAGGACTCTTAGTGTCAAAAACATGTAAATGTAGTGATAGCTTGATATCAATTACCATATTCTTCTTTGCTTTAATAAAATCCAGTATTTATTTTGCATGTCATTTTCCTTCCATTTTTAGAAGTAATCCAGAGTAATTCATTCCATGAAAAATTGGAGGGGGAGTCATAGGTAGCCTTGGTGGAATTTTCCAGAATGGTACATATCTGGGCCAGCTCTTCTCTTGGCTCTGGGCGTCACACCTGCTGTAGCAGCGGGACGGAGACATTGAAGGGTGACAAAGTAGGCGAGCGTGTCCCCTCCTTTAAGAACACCATGTTTCCTTCCCTCCTCTCTCGGTCCACACACAGTAAGACACAACCGTCACAGCTGACTAAAGGCAAAATTAACATCTTCCTCCTTCTTCCTCTTCCCTTTTTGTTTTATATTCAGGCATTCTGAGGGCAGCTATGTGTAGCAGGAGAGTGGCAGTGAGGTCCCCAGGGTAAGTCTGAAAGGTGAGTGATGCACATCCAAAGATACAGTCTCAACAACCCACCCAAGATGGCCACTGCTATAAAACTGTGGCTTCCTCCATGGCGTTCACCCATCTGGGTAGAAAGAAAAGTGCTGACTGTAATTGTAATACATTATAATAACAATCTGATTGTTGTGTTGACGCTGTTGTCAATGTGAGTCATGCCTATGAGGTGGCTTAATGAGGCCAGTAAGTGGGGCCAGGAGTTTTACCCCACCACGTAAAAGGCTAAAGGCTATAACTAGGGCCCAGAGTTAGTCTTGGTCAGATCATGTGGTGATATATATTTTTTAAAGGTGCAGTGCAGGGCTCACCTCTTAGCAGTGTGATTGTCCTCAGCCTTAAAGGTGTAGTACAGGGTCTTCTTGTGGTACAGCTCAAAGACGTTGGTAGTCTCCTCTCCATCGGGCCTATCAGGCAGCTTCACTGTGAAGCCCAACAGAGGCAAACTCTCAGACGCCACTTTCTCCTGGAGACAGAGAGAGACAAGGAGAGAGAGAGATAGAGAGAGAGAAATAGAGGGAAATGAGGAGGAGAGACAGAGAGAGAGAGAGAAGGAGGATGAGAGAGAGACAGAGAGAGACACATACAGAGAGAGAGAGAGAGAGGGAGAGAGAGAGGAGGAAGAGAGACAGACACAGAGAGAGAAATACACAGTGATCATTGACCTGCATAGTTTTAAGGATGCAGTTTGTGGAGGTTTTGCTGACTAAAAAAGTAGAGAGGGTGAATTAGCTTTACTAGGGAAACTCTATGCTCAGAGTTACAGGGATAGGTGTTTTGGGTAGAGGTGTGTGTGAGGGTTCAGGTTTAAGGGGAGCGTGTGTTCCCCCTCACCTCGCGGGCCTGGTAGGTGTAAAGCACCTTGTCTTTGAGGAGGAACCACAGCCTCTTCCAGTTCCTCTTGCTCCTCTTACTGCGCTGCAGAGTCCCACTCATAGAGCCCTCCTCTGACACACCCACCTAGAGACAACACAGGAACACACAGAGAGATTAGTTAGATACATAACAGTGCAAAGGGAAATGTATACTGTCACTACCTCAGTACAACCAAGTTGCATCAATTGAAGATCAAGCTGAAGAACAAAACGTCTAAGAGCCGCTTTTGGAGGAAAATGTATGTTTCCATTAAAATGTAAGTTTAGTTTTTGGACAATAGCTTTTACCATTAAAATAAGATTAGTGTTGTGTGTGTGTGTGTTTGTGTGTGTGTGTGTGTGTGTGTGTGTGTATGTGTGTGTGTGTGTGTGATTACCTGGGTCAGAGAGGCAGTGCCCTTGCGTCTCCACAGGCTGGGAGGGTGAATGTTCTGGAAGACGGCAGAGAGCGGGCGGATGGAGCGGCGGTTAGAACGAGGACTGTCAGTACCACTCGTCCCAGACACATTCCCTCCTATGGAGACAGAGAACACCTGACCTTAACACCTGTACTCACACACATTCAATATGCTCCAGTAGTCAAGAGCGGCATATACAGTACAGTACAATACAATATAGTATAGTACAGTTTAGTACAATACAATACGGTACAAGAAAGGAAAGGAGGAGGAGTTATGCACCTCTCTTCTTGAGCTCACTGTAACAGTGGTCACACACTTTGGCCATGTGGTCCTTCAGGTACTTCAGAGGGTATCTGTTCCTGGAGCAGCTCCGACACACAATCTGAGTACAGCAGGACCAGGACACGTCAGAACACCCAACACACACAGGTCAGGCCTGACTATGGAAAACAGACTCCAGCCACATCATACTGCACAAAACTATGCTTCTAGGTGACAGAGCCATGCATTGTCACCTAGAAGCACATGTGTGTGAGAGAGAGACTCACCCTCCCGCAGGCGTGGCAGTGATGTCTGCGCAGTGTGAGGCTGAAGTCTGAGGTGCAGTTCATACACATCATCACATGGGACACAGGCACCAGAGTAGGAGCCTTCTCCCCCAGGGACAGCCACAGACGTTCTCTGGCCTGGAAGAGAGACAGGACAATATAGCTACGGCTACGGCACTAGACTTCACAGTAATACTCAGTGACTCATACTCAATTTAAAAGAGAAAATACACCCTCTGCAATGTTAATATAAGCTCAGTAAATGTATGAGTATTGGTTTGCTATTGTCATTGAGTGGGGAGCATTGTTATGTTATTGCTAACATTGCTTTTATGTATGCTCTGTCTCCCAGTCAAAGTCCTCTTCACCTCTCCAGAGCAGCTGCTGAATGTCGCAGGTCCTCTGGCGTGGTCAGACACTGTCCGACTCAGAGTGTGGAACCAGTCCTCCCTCTCACTACAGGAGCTGCACAGGGACACACAGAGCACAGGTCATTAAGCCCTCTCATCATACTTTTCATATACCTGTTTGACTACACTACTTTTAGGGCTATAAATGGCCCAGAGTGGTCTAGATACATGGTCAGGAAAACAACACTGACACTACTTATAAAAGGTCCAAAAAGCCTGGCACGAGAAGCTTTACTATACCTCATTCACTGTTGAAACAGCGCAATTGGTAACCATGGGAACTATGAACTACGATCATTATACCGACCATGCCACCCAAGGTGTGTTAGTGTGACCCACCTGGCTGCCAAGGTGATGGCGATGTCTGCTCCCTCGATCCTCAGAGCATTCTGCACATTCTCTATGACGGGTTTACTGACCTGGAACATCAATCATCAATAGCACATTACACAGACCCATCAGGAAAGTGAGAGAGAGGACAGATAGGTTTGAGAAGGGGAAAGAGAGAACGAGAGGATGGAGAAAGGGAGAGAGAGGAAAAGAATGAGAGATATAAAAGTGAGGGAGTAAGATAGAGATAAAGACACAGTTATAGAGAGGACAAGGGAGAGGGAGGGGGGATGGAGAAGGGAGGGGGGGGGGTGAGTGATATAGACAAAGAGAAGAGAGAAATTTGGTAAATGGTGATGAAAAAAAAACAGGAGAGGGAGGACTCTGACCTTCATCCCAGTGAGTGGGAGGCTGTTCTTCAGTCTGTATTTCCCATCCTGCTGAGGGTAGGTGTACAGCAGCACATCATTCATCTGTTAAGACACAATCACACTCAGAATTCACTAACAAACCTCAGAATCACACATACTTTCATTCTGTATCCTCAGAACCAATGAACAAGATAATACTGTATACAAACATTTCACTGATTCAGCTGTCGGATAGAACAAGTGCATGGAGAAATGAAACAATGTGAAATGCATACATATACTTATTCTCAGTACTCTCCAATCCAAGTAGCATGCTACTTAGTGTTATATATCTTGATGCCTAGTCAGTTCACCTCTGCCGACATGTACATACTGTATCTACCTCTATTACCACATATCCTTGCACATTGATATGGTTATGGTACTCCTTGTATATAGCTTCATTCTTGTGTGTTTTAATTTTGTCTTATTTAACTCTGCATCATTGGGAAAGGGCTCGTAAGTAAGCTTTTTACTGTAAGGTAAATGCGCATGTGACAAATAAAATTTGATTTGATAAAAAATACATTTGACATTATTCCTGCATGCTAAATGACCACATGGTGGTGCCCTAAACGAAGAGGAAACTATCAGTTCCTCAAGGAGGAGTTGGGCTGTTTTGGTGATCATAATTTCATCAGATTTGACAGTTAAATGTGTCTCAATGTCACAAATCAAGATTTCTCCCTGTTTTTCTGACTGCATGACTTGACCAGGAAAAACTCTGGGCCCTACTCATCATTCCACTGGGGCCCTAAACATACCGTAACTCCACCTCCTGGAGAGAGTGAGAGAAAAAAACTAAATGGATTATAGTTGTGTGTGATCATGAGTGGACTGACTGCATATAGCCTCAGTGTTTTATTCTTAAATGTTAAAGTGATTTCCTACAAGCCGTTCCTATAGCTTTTCGAATAATATTTTAAATTACGTTTTATCCGGTTGGATAATATTTCCAAAATATGATTAAGTGACTCGTCTTAGTGCAAATCCCTGTAGTTGGACAACAGTGACCTAGAAAACCTTAAAGTTGAATTCTGGGTAGATGTAAACAAAGGTCATTGGTCGTTCAAGAATAGGCCAATGGGATTATCTTTTCATTTTCAGATAACAGATTTGTCTTTCTTTAACTCTTTTGTCGATCTTCGTTCACCATCACTGAGAGGGCTGAACATTTCAAAAATAAGGAAGTCCCCTTTAATTCTGTAATTTTCCATCATATTAACCCATTCCTTGTTTTATGCTCTTTCTCTTCCTCTTCTGCCTACATCCCTCTCTCTCACTTTGAGATGGCAGAGTGTGTCAGAGTGTTCTGTTGGCATAGTTACAGAGGGGGCTTTCACTGCCAGGCCGCTAAAGAATGGCCTGTCTGAAGTCGTTACTCTGTCTAGACTTATGGCTTTATAAATTACACCCCCCTCCTCCTCCTCTCCCTCTCCCTCCTCAGACATGTCACCCCTACCACCATATCCTGAGTGTGTTTGTGGGGTTGCTAAAGACGGGTATGTTCTTTTTTTTTAAAAAGATGACAGAATCTAGGTGGGGGAGGTTGGTTTAATTTTAGAAATTAGTAATGAAACAATTTTAGATTAACATGGCATGGTAAAACAATAGTAGGACATCCAGGTGAATATCTACTGATCTACATACAAAATATCTCTCTAAATACAGTTATGATTGGACAAACTAACATGAGGTTTAAACAGAGTTTTCACCAGGTCTAGTGTGTGTGGCTGTATTCAACAGAGAGAACCAGGTCTAGTGTGTGTGGCTGTATTCAACAGAGAGAGAACCAGGTCTAGTGTGTGTGGCTGTATTCAACAGAGAGAGTACCAGGTGTAGTGTCTGTGGCTGTATTCAACAGAAAGGGAACCAGGTCTAGTGTGTGTGACGGTATTCAACAGAGAGAGAACCAGGTCTAGTGTGTGTGGCTGTATTCAACAGAGAGAGTACCAGGTGTAGTGTCTGTGGCTGTATTCAACAGAGAGAGAACCAGGTCTAGTGTGTGTGGCTGTATTCAACAGAGAGAGAACCAGGTCTAGTGTGTGTGGCTGTATTCAACAGAAAGGGTACCAGGTCTAGTGTCTGTGGCTGTATTCAACAGAGAGAGAACCAGGTCTAGTGTCTGTGGCTGTATTCAACAGAAAGGGAACCGCCGCGGGGCCGGACAGTATTCCAGGGCACGTTCTCAGAGCATGCGCAGAACAGCTGGCAGGCATATTCACGGTCATTTCCAACCTCTCCTTCTCCCAGTCTGTAATCCTCACAATGACTACCGCCCTGTAGCACTCACATCTGTAATCATGAAGTGCTTTGAAAGGCTGGTTATGGCACACATCAACTCCATCATCCCAGACACCCTAGACGCACTCCAATTTGCATACCGCCCCAACAGATCCATAGACGACGCAATCTCAATTGCACTCCACACTGCCCTCACCCACCTAGATAAGAGGAATACCTATGTGAGAATGCTGTTCATTGACTACAGCTCAGTGTTCAACACCATAGTCCCCTCCAAGCTCATCACCAAGCTTGGGACCCTGGGACTGAACACCTCCCTCTGCAACTGGATATTGGACTTCCTGATGGGCCGACCCCAGGTGGTGAGGGTAGGCAACATCACCTCTGCCACGCTGACCCTCAACACGGGAGCCCCACAGGGGTATGTGCTTAGTACCCTCCTATACTCCCTGATCACCCACAACTGCGTGGCCACGCATGACTCCAACACCATCATCAAGTTTGCTGATGACCCGACAGTGGTAGGCCTGATCACCGGCGACACCAGTAAGACCAAGGAGCTGATCGTGGACTACAGGAAACGGGGGGTCGAGGACGCCCCCATCCACATCGACGGGGCTGCAGTGGAGCGGGTCGAGAGCTTCAAGTTCCTCGGTGTCCAAATCACTAAGGACTTCAAATGGTCCACACACACGCACACAGTCGTGAAGAAGGCACGACAGCGCCTCTTCCCCCCCTTAGGAGGTTGAAAAGATTTGACATGGGCCATCAAATCCTCAAAAGGTTCTACAGCTGCACCATTGAGAGCATCTTGACTGGCTGCATCACTGCTTGGTATGGCAACTGCACCGCCCTCGATCGCATGGTGCTACAGAGAGTGGTACGGACAGCCCAGTACATCACTGGGGCCGAGCTCCCTGCCATCCAGTACCTCTATATCAGGCGGCCCGTAAAATTGGCCCAACATTTTTTTTCAAGACTCCAGCCACACAAGCCATAGACTGTTCTCTCTGCTTCTGCACGGTAAGTGGTACCGGAGCAACGAGTCTGACACCAACAGGCTCCTGAACAGCTTCTATCCCCAAGCCATAAGACTGCTAAATAGCTAACAAAATGGCTATACGGGCTATCTGCATTGACCCTTCTATTTTATTTGTATTTTTGGACTGACTCTATGCACACTTACAGGACTCTACACACACTCACACTGACACTCCAACACACTCCAACATAGACACACAAACACACACACACACACACACACACACACACTTCATTTGCTCACACATAGGGCTGTGGCGGTCATGACATTTCATCAGCCGGTGATTGTCAAGCAAATAACTGTTGGTCTAATTGACCATTAATTAACATAAACACATTTAGCATCTCCTGGCTTCCACACATACTGTAGCCTACAAGCCACTGATGCAGACCTTTGGAACATCTACATTTAAGAAAGTCTAATAAATCCATGTAATATAGCCTAAACCATCACAATAAATCCATTATTTATTTAGACAGGTGTAAAGAAACATGATATGAAGAAAATGTAGTCTATTTCAGAAGAACAGAGTAGCATACTCTGAGTTGTCCATTTCTTAGGTCCTGATCTGGCTATGCCATATGGCTGTGGGCTACCCTAGTTTATTTAGCAGAAAAGATTTGCTTAGAATTCCTTGCCATTATTTTATATTATTTTATAGTATGAAGAATACAATTGAACAAAGCTGAATAATATAGAAAGGATATTTTCTCCAAACGATTTGAGTGAGTGCGCACATGCGGCTATTTTGTGTTGAGCGGTTAATAAAGAAATAGGTACTCCTATATGCTTAATTTAGAGTTATTAATAACCAGGTCTAGTGTGTGTGGCTGTATTCAACAGAGAGAGAACCAGGTCTAGTGTGTGTGGCTGTATTCAACAGAGAGAGAACCAGGTCTAGTGTGTGTGGCTGTATTCAACAGAGATAGAACCAGGTCTAGTGTGTGTGGCTGTATTCAACAGAGAGAGAACCAGGTCTAGTGTGTGTGGCTGTATTCAACAGAGAGAGAACCAGGTCTAGTGTGTGTGGCTGTATTCAACAGAGAGAGAACCAGGTCTAGTGTGTGTGGCTGTATTCAACAGAAAGGGTACCAGGTCTAGTGTCTGTGGCTGTATTCAACAGAGAGAGAACCAGGTCTAGTGTCTGTGGCTGTATTCAACAGAAAGGGAACCAGGTCTAGTGTGTGTGGCTGTATTCAACAGAAAGGGAACCAGGTCTAGTGTGTGTGGCTGTATTCAACAGAGAGAGAACCAGGTCTAGTGTGTGTGGCTGTATTCAACAGAAAGGGAACCAGGTCTAGTGTGTGTGGCTGTATTCAACAGAGAGAGAACCAGGTCTAGTGTGTGTGGCTGTATTCAACAGAAAAGGAACCAGGTCTAGTGTGTGTGACTGTATTCAACAGAAAGGGAACCAGGTCTAGTGTGTGTGGCTGTATTCAACAGAGAGAGAACCAGGTCTAGTGTGTGTGGCTGTATTCAACAGAGAGAGAACCAGGTCTAGTGTGTGTGGCTGTATTCAACAGAAAAGGAACCAGGTCTAGTGTGTGTGACTGTATTCAACAGAAAGGGAACCAGGTCTAGTGTGTGTGGCTGTATTCAACAGAGAGAACCAGGTCTAGTGTGTGTGGCTGTATTCAACAGAGAGAGAACCAGGTCTAGTGTGTGTGGCTGTATTCAACAGAAAAGGAACCAGGTCTAGTGTGTGTGACTGTATTCAACAGAGAGAACCAGGTCTAGTGTGTGTGGCTGTATTCAACAGAGAGAGAACCAGGTCTAGTGTGTGTGGCTGTATTCAACAGAAAGGGTACCAGGTCTAGTGTCTGTGGCTGTATTCAACAGAGAGAGAACCAGGTCTAGTGTCTGTGGCTGTATTCAACAGAAAGGGAACCAGGTCTAGTGTGTGTGGCTGTATTCAACAGAAAGGGAACCAGGTCTAGTGTGTGTGGCTGTATTCAACAGAGAGAGAACCAGGTCTAGTGTGTGTGGCTGTATTCAACAGAGAGAGAACCAGGTCTAGTGTGTGTGGCTGTATTCAACAGAAAGGGAACCAGGTCTAGTGTCTGTGGCTGTATTCAACAGAGAGAGAACCAGGTCTAGTGTGTGTGGCTGTATTCAACAGAAAAGGAACCAGGTCTAGTGTGTGTGACTGTATTCAACAGAAAGGGAACCAGGTCTAGTGTGTGTGGCTGTATTCAACAGAGAGAACCAGGTCTAGTGTGTGTGGCTGTATTCAACAGAGGGAGAACCAGGTGTAGTGTGTGTGGCTGTATTCAACAGAGAGAGAACCAGGTGTAGTGTGTGGGGGGGTGTATGAGGAGCGTTCCTGACCTTCCCCGTTCAGTCAGTAAAGAGCAGCTCAGGAAGCTGCCATTCAGAAACATCCTGCCAGGAAACCCTGCTCTCAATAGCAGGGTCTGGGAGGGCCATAGATATAGCCATAGAACAGACCTGCTGCTTCTCCTTTTCAAATTACATTTACATGTAATTTACATTGCAGCAAGAGAACAAGGAATGTGGGCTTTCCTTCTCCTTCTCCTTCTCTTTCTCCTTCTCCTTCTCCTTCTCCTTCTCCTTCTCCATGGCCGACGTGAGTAAGACATTTAAGCATGTTAACCCCCGCAAGGCTGCCGGCCCAGAGGGCATCCCAAGCTGCGTCCTCAGAGCATGCGCAGACCAGCTGGCTGGTGTGTTTACGGACATATTCAATCTCTCCCTATCCCAGTCTGCTGTCCCCACATGCTTCAAGATGGCCACCATTGTTCCTGTACCCAAGAAAAGCAAAGGTAACTGAACTAAATGACTATCGCCCCGTAGCACTCACCTCTGTCATCATGAAGTGCTTTGAGAGACTAGTCAAGGATCATATCACCTCTACCTTACCTGTCACCCTAGACCCACTTCAATTTGCTTACCGCCCCAATAGATCCATAGACGATGCAATCGCCATCACACTGCACACTGCCCTATCCCATCTGGACAAGAGGAATACGTATGTAAGAATGCTGTTAATTGACTATAGCTCAGCATTCAACACCATAGTACCCTCCAAGCTCATCATTAAGCTTGAGGCCCTGGGTCTGAACCCCGCCCTGTGCAACTGGGTCCTGGACTTCCTGGCGGGCCGCCCCCAGGTGGTGAAGGTAGGAAACAACATCTCCACTTCGCTGATCCTCAACACTGGGGCCCCTCAAGGGTGTGTGCTCAGCCCCCTCCTGTACTCCCTTGTTCACCCATGACTGCGTGGCCAAGCACGCCACCAACTCAATCATCAAGTTTGCAGACGACACAACAGTAGTAGGCTTGATTACCAAGAATGACGAGACAGCCTACAGGGAGGAGGTGAGGGCTCTGGGAGTGTGGTGCCAGGAAAATAACCTCTCACTCAACGTCAACAAAACAAAGGAGATGATCGTGGACTTCAGGAAACAGCAGAGGGTGCACCCCCTATCCACATCGACGGGACCGCAGTGGAGAAGGTGGAAAGCTTCAAGTTCCTTGGCGTACACATCACTGACAAACTGAAATGGTCCACCCACACAGACAGTGTGGTGAAGAAGGTGCAACAGAGCCTCTTCAACCTCAGGAGGCTGAAGAAATTTGTCTTGACACCTAAAACCCTCACAAACTTTTACAGATGCACAATTGAGAGCATCCTGTCAGGCTGTATCACCACCTGGTACGGCAACTGCACCGCCCGCAACCGCAGGGCTCTCCAGAGGGTGGTGCGGTCTGCCGAACGCATTACCGGGGGCAAACTACCCACCCTCCAGGACACCTACAGCACCCGATGTCACAGGAAGGCCAAAAAGATCATCAAGGACATCAACCACCCGAGCCACTGCCTGTTCACCCCTCTATCATCCAGAAGGCAAGGTCAGTACAGGTGCATCAAAGCTGGGACCGAGAGACTGAAAAACAGCTTTTATCTCAACGCCATCAGACTGTTAAATAGCCATCACTAGCACATTAGAGGCTGCTGCTGCCTATTGAAATCACTGGCCACTTTAAGAAATGGAACACTAGTCACTTTAATACTGTTTAAATATCTTGCATTACTCATCTCATACGTATATACTGTATTCTATAATATTCTACTGTATCTTAGTCCATGCCGCTCTGTCATTGCTCATCCATATATTTATATATTCTTAATTCCATTCCTTACTTAGATTTGTGTGTATTGGGTACATGTTGTGAAATTGTTAGATATTACTTGTTAGATATTACTGCACTGTCGGAGCTAGAGGCACAAGCATTTCGCTACAGCCGCAATAACATCTGCTAAACACGTGTATGTGACAAATACAATTTGATTTGATTTGATTTGAAGATGATGCATAGTTGTGTAGTCATAATGACAAGCCCGGTGACCATGTTCAAATTTGAGAAAATTGTGAATGCTTTTTTTTATTTTTAGCCATTGCTTGTTCTGTCCGTTATCTATAGGTTTGTGGCGGTGAGTGTCCTACCCTCCCTCCAAACAGGAAGTGACATTTACCAGAAACAGGTGGCGTGGCTGTCTGCACTTCCTGCTGACCTTCATCAGAGTACCCTCCTTCACAAACACCTGAGAACAAAACACACACACACACACACACACACACAGGGTCAGACATAAAGTAGATTAAATGGCAATTGAGGACAGCGTGCCACATATGAGAAGCAAGAGAGTTGGAGAGAGGGCTTTAAAGGGTCCTTTAAGAGTGTGTGTGCCCGCTCTTCTCCACTCCACCCAGACACAGAGAGAGGACCAGGGGATTCCCAGCTGACTGGTTATATAAAGGGCGACACAGGCGGGATGGAGAGGTGGAGGGGGGAGGGGGGAGAGGGTGTACCCTTGCCCGGGGCACTGGGCAGAAACAATGGTGTTATCAGGCAGGCAGGCAGGACGGCGCTTACCCTGCCAGGCTGGAGCAGATCCCTCTGGCCTCCAACACTGTACTCTATGTTGACAAGATGTAGCAGGTTCTCCTGAGAGAGAGAGAGAGAGAGAGGGGGGAGACATGCCATGTTGAGAAATTACAATGGCTACCAAATAAACGGTTGTGCATCCCACAACAACACTGCGTGTGTGCACTCTGCCTCTCTTACAAGCACTCACACACACACACACACACACACACACACAACAAACACACAAAGGCAGGCACACACTATGTTGGAAAACACTCGTCTTCACTCTTGAAACTCACCCCATGTTTCAAACTGTCATTGGCTTGATCTGCAATGTCTGACACTACCACCAGAGCAGCTGAGAGCAAGGAGACAGTGACATGAGAGAAGTAAAGAGTTGTCGTTAAAGCAAAATAAAAAACATCAGACACACAGAGAACCAGAGAGGGACATGTTCACCAGAGACTATTCTCATCCTTCATGAGGTGTTCATTCCAGCCTTGTCCCCCATATACACACAGAGAGATAACATCCCCTACAATTTTCCTCCTCTCTCTCTCTTTCTCTCTCTCTCTCTCTCGCTCTCTCTCTCTCCTTCTCTCTCTCCATCTCTCTCTCTCTCTCTCTCTCTCTCTCTCTCTCTCTCTCTCTCTCTCTCTCTCTTTCTCTCTCTCTCAATTCAATTCAATTCAATTTAAGGGCTTTATTGGCATGGGAAACGTATGTTAACATTGCCAAAGCAAGTGAAGTAGATAGTAAACAAAAGTGAAATAAATAATAAATATTAACAGTAAACATTACACTCAGAAGTTCCAAAAGAATAAAGACATTTCAAATGTCACATTATGTGTATATATACAGTGTTGTAACAATGTGCAAATAGTTAAAGTACAAATGGGAAAATAAATAAACATAAATATGGGTTGTATTTACAATGGTGTTTGTTCTTCACTGGTTGCCCTTTTCTTGTGGCAACAGGTCACAAATCTTGCAGCTGTGATGGCACACTGTGGTTTTTCACCCAGTAGATAAGGGAGTTTATCAAAATTGGTTTTTGCTCAGTTTCCACCTCATTTTGTGGGCAGTGTGCACATAGCCTGTCTTCTCTTGAGAGCCAGGTCTGCCTACGGTGGCCTTTCTCAATAGGAAGGCTATGCTCACTGAGTCTGTACATAGTCAAAGCTTTCCTTAAGTTTGGGTCAGTCACAGTGGTCAGGTATTCTGCCACTGTGTACTCTCTGTTTAGAGCCAAATAGCATTCTAGTTCACTCACTCACTCACTCACTCACTCACTCACTCACTCACTCACTCACTCACTCACTCACTCACTCACTCACTCACTCACTCACTCACTCACTCACTCACTCACTCACTCACTCACTCACTCACCATCTGGGCTGGAAGTGGCTTCCCTAGTGATTTACCCACAAACACACAGAAAAACCGAGACAGAATGGGTCCCTAGTCAACTACTCAGAATGGGTCCCTAGTCAACTACTCAGAATGGGTCCCTAGTCAACTACTCAGAATGGGTCCCTAGTCAACTACTCAGAATGTCAAATACATTCCTTATAAACACATACAAACATAACTGACATGGCCCTCTGGTGAATAACACAATACAGAGCAAATAGGTACTAGTGCTTATAGCAGAGCTCTACTGTACCCAGTGTGTCTTCATATTCTTTGGAGTCTGGGGAGAGGTTGTTGAGGTAATCTGGAGGAGGAGGAAAACAAACAGCAGCAACTGAGAAAAGACTCAAAGTGAAAGACACATGACCATTGATTGAACCACGGTAAGATCAGACATAATGTCTGATGTATAAATGTGTAAGTCTTGACATACTATTACACACCCACACCCACCCACCCACACACACCCACATTTTAGTCATTTAGCAGACGCTCTTATCCAGAGCGACTTACAGTTAGCACATACATTATTTTATCGAACCCACAACCCTGGCGTTGCAAACGCCATGCTCTACCAACTGAGCTACATCCCCTGCCGGCCATTCCCTCCCCTACCCTGGACGACGCTGGGCCAATTGTGCGCCGCCCCATGGGTCTCCCGGTCGCGGCCGGCTACGACAGAGCCTGGATTCGAACCAGGATCTCTAGTGGCACAGCTAGCACTGCGATGCAGTGCCTTAGACCACTGCGCCACTCGGGAGACACTCACGCACACACACACACACACACACACACACACAAACACCCATGCACGCACGCACACACCCACCCACCCACTCACACACACACACACACACACACACAAACACTTACCAGTGAGGAGCAAGCGGTATTGAGCCACCCGTACGATGACCTGCAGAAGCTGGTGTTTGAGAGAGACATTGTCCCCTGCTGGACTCTGCTGCTGGGAAAGACAGACAGACACACTCAGTAATGGGCCTCACTTCACTCACATTACTGATAACCTACACATCACACAAAACTCTTTCCTATGTCCATATCATCCCGAAATGTCTTCACTGCTACACTAAGAGAAACATTGACCAAATTATGAGCTTTTGCACTGACAGACAAAGTATAGAGACAGAGAAAAGAAAGAAAAACAGAGAAAAGAGAGGGTGGGAGGAGATATTTCAGCAGAATCCAAAGCCACTTAAGTGGCGAGCCAGGACCAATAACTCAACAGAGTGCTCAACAGAGTGCTCAAGAGTGCTTGTCAAATCAAATCAAATCAAATCAAATTTTATTGGTCACATGCGCCGAATACAACAGGTGCAGACATTACAGTGAAATGCTTACTTACAGCCCTTAACCAACAGTGCATTTATTTTAAACAAAAAAAGTAAGAATAAAACAACAACAAAAAAAGTGTTGAGAAAAAAAGAGCAGAAGTAAAATAAAGTGACAGTAGGGAGGCTATATATACAGTAAAATAAAGTGACAGTAGGGAGGCTATATATACAGGGGGGTACCGTTGCAGAGTCAATGTGCGGGGGCACCGGCTAGTTGAGGTAGTTGAGGTAATATGTACATGTGGGTAGAGTTAAAGTGACTATGCATAAATACTTAACAGAGTAGCAGCAGCGTAAAAAGGATGGGGTGGGGGGGCAGTGCAAATAGTCCGGGTAGCCATGATTAGCTGTTCAGGAGTCTTATGGCTTGGGGGTAGAAGCTGTTGAGAAGTCTTTTGGACCTAGACTTGGCACTCCGGTACCGCTTGCCGTGCGGTAGCAGAGAGAACAGTCTATGACTAGGGTGGCTGGAGTCTTTGACAATTTTGAGGGCCTTCCTCTGACACCGCCTGGTATAGAGGTCCTGAATGGCAGGGAGCTTTGCCCCAGTGATGTACTGGGCCGTACGCACTACCCTCTGTAGTGCCTTGCGGTCAGAGGCCAAGCAGTTGCCATACCAGGCGGTGATGCAACCAGTCAGGATGCTCTCGATGGTGCAGCTGTAGAATTTTTTGAGGATCTGAGGACCCATGCCAAATCTTTTTAGTCTCCTGAGGGGGAATAGGCTTTGTCGTCGTTCAGCGTTCAGCGTTCACAGTCCCCTGCAGAAACATCCCTGTACACTTGTACTCTTACACACACAAACAAGCATGTACACACACACACAAACACACAAAAACACGCACACACTATTTCATACTACCCACACATATTGCATGGATCACAAATCAAGTCCTGGCAGAGTAATATGTTGATTTGATAAGGGAGATGTAAAGACTTCCGTCTGCTAATTAGCTTTGTCAGCTTCTTCACCAGAGCTAGCCAGCAGCAACGCAAATAAACACACACACACTAGTGCCGAGCGATTAACCGAAATGTCCGTTATTTTTAATTTTTTAAACAACTAATTAACCGACGTCGGTTCAATTCTTTGAATTTCATTTTGTTCGTTTTTTTTCTGTGAGCTCAATGCGCAGTTTCTCTAGAAAGAAATCAGATCAAGCCTAAACTGTGCAATGTAGTAGAGAGTTGTTTAGTGCAGAAAACGTGGTAATTAACTACAATGACCATAATCCATTGTGCGCCTACTTGTCCAGTCGGTGTAGGACAGACACGAAGAGAAGAGACAGAAGAAAGCACGATCAAGAGGGATATAGAGCAGTTGCTTCATGAGGTAACTCTACCTGAAAATACATGATCTAAGTGATTGATAGTTGGTATTCAGTCATAATAGTTTGCCTTATTTACTTTGAAGAACTACTAAAACAGTGATTTTTCAGACAGCATAGGCAGCAGCTCTATAGAGATGAGATGATGACTTGGAATGAAATAATAAAGTCATCAAATAAAACTAATGTAATATACACAACAACTGAAATATTTTATATCTAGTAAAGTAATGTGAATAAATGATGGTTAATAAGTGATAAGCAGTAGTGGACAGTCACTACCATCATGGGACTTTTATTAATTGTTTTATTCTGTGTTGTTGCAGCATTCAAACCACATAATGAATAGTGCATTTAATGTCCCAAAAATATTTTGAAACCGAAATTGAAAACTGTGATATTTTTTTTTATAAACGAACTGAAACCAAACCGATTTCAAAAAGCACTGATTGCTCAGCACTAACATATACACACACACAACGCACGCACACACACACACACACACACACACACACACACACACACACACACACACAGTTGTTGCCTACTGTACGGTAACACCAACCATATCAGCTTCATCTGTTTCATTTCACACAGGAGCTTCATCATGGTCACTGTACATGATACACACAGTCACTTATGATGGGAGATACGTTAGAGGGAATGGGCAGAGAGAGTGGGGAAGGAGGGCTCTTTCTCCCATCCAAGATTCATTCAACACTCATCCTCTATAAGGCTGGAGTATCAACTACTTTGCTTTCAGCTTGACTACATAAAAGCACAATCAAATTAAGTCTCATATCAAAATCAAAATATTAATTAATTCTACTGTATTTGAGGTTAAAATGATACTCAGGAGAGTACGATGATATACTGTAAGTTGTAAGAAAAGCATCAATGGAAAAAGGAGAAGAAATGGAAATCACTTGGTTGCTTATGGTATTCAGATGTATTTCATGGTATTCCATTTCTCTGTCATCAGTGACTTGCACAACTACACAAGAGATGGACAGAGAGAAGAGGTGTCAAGAAATATACTCTGTCTGTCTGTCTGTCTGTCTGTGTCTGTCTCTATCTCAGCGTGCACCAACTCAGTCCAACACACGCTCTACCTGCACTCTGTTATATTCAGGTTTATATATCAGTGCAACTGTAGCGGAGGTGGTTCAGTGAACGACTCGTGTGATGAGTAACCTTGGATAACCAGTCACACCAATAGACAATTAAGGTGGCATAAGCATCAATAGGACTCTTATTCTACACAATTAACAGCCTGAAGATCAATACACTCATATACCCATAATGTACCATGCTCCATGGTAGCTACATTATGGATGTCAATGAAGACACTACAAATACACTACAATTGACTACTTATAATATACTACAAGGGAATGTCGTCAATGCATGCAATATAAACTGGAGCATGCAGATATCCAGATACGTTTGCACTTATCCAATATGCACGGTAGCTCACATGCTGATGGATAGCTCATGGTTGCTTTTGATTTGATTAATTTTGACAGAGACCAGACCCCTTCAATACTTCCCCTTTGCTGTGGTTTCTACAATCATGTTCAACTCTGTGGTAACAGTTGTGCTACTGAAGAAGAGGACTACAGACCAACACCTCAACCATTCAAAGTCAAAGCCTGGCAATTACAATACATGTTGAAGTGGTTAATAAAACAGACACCTTTCGGTCTTTCTGCTTTGTGAATGAATGTAGTTATCTAGCTCAATGGATCTTGCTTAATGTATGTATGAAGAGCTCTACTTTGTCCCTATTAAAAGCCAAATAAAGCAAATGAGACAGGAACTGTGTTCATTGACATTCAGACAGTTCCAACATGTTATTGATGAGGCAACACTTCATCTAATCTAATAGGATGATGACATGAAGAAAACGTTTTTCTTAATCAAAAGGAAAAACAGAATAAGATCTTATATGTGTAATATATTTGATTTCAAAATATGACTGTGTACAGTACTGACATTATCTGTCCACTTCTCGATCTTGTGACTGGAACTCAAAAGAGCTGCCTGTGAGAACCAAAAGTTGATTTAAAGCTGAAATCCGCATAAGGGGAAACAGCGCCACTGTTCGCCCCAGCACATTTGTTATTGTTTTGTTTGGTTGTTGAAAGGAGACGGGCATCCAGCAGTGGTAAAAAGAATTTGCAGTACATACTCTGCTGTTCTATGATGTCCGAGGGGGGAAAAAAACAGTGTTCGTAGTTTGAAGTAACTTCTTTGTTGTTGTAGTATCGCAAACGGACATGGCAGTTTCACCATTACGGATTACAGCTTCAAGCCATGTGTCACAATAATGTAATAATCCTCAGGGTTCTCTCTAGAGAGAGAGAAGAGAAGTACGAGAGGAGAGAGAGAGAGAGAAGAGAAGGGAAGAGAGGAGAGAGAGAGAGAGAGAGAGCAGTAAGGAGAGAGAGGAGATGAGGGAGAGAGAGAGAGAGAGATATCGTCGGACGATCGAGAGAGCGGAGAGAGAGAGGAAGCGAGAGATAGAGAGAGCGAGAGAGAGAGAGAGAGAGAGAGAAGTAGAGCGAGAGAGCGAGAGAGAGAGATGAGAGAGAGAGAGAGAGCAGAGAGAGAGGAGAGAGC